CCCCGCACAAATTTATAGCCGGTTGACTAGAAGCACTTGTAACAGCTTGGTACTTGAGACTGACAGCTGAAGTGGGGCAGTCTCATGGGACTGACCCCTTAACTGTGGGAACTGACTCTAATTCCAAGTATATAGTGTCAGAATTAAACTGAATTGTAGAATGGCCAGCTGGTGTTGGAGAGTTGAAGTGATTTGGTGTCAGAAATATTGTAAATAAAAATAGCTCAGAGATACAGAGCAAAAAATGGAGAGGATGAGTTTGAATGACTCTGGATGCCTCCCGCTAGGACAAAGTAGGGCCAGCTTACTCAGCCAGGGGGTTGTGGCCTTGACCTGTAATAGTGACTCAAAAGGACAGGTACTGGTGGAATTAAGAACAGTAAGCTTTAAGAAAGAAAGAGACAATGCTTCAGAAGGATCGAGAATGATAGCTGTAGATAAAAAGGAGTTGGAAGGGCTTAAAGTATGGGCGGCGAGTTGACTGATGGCTCCAAGAGATGTTCTTGGCCAGCTGTGGGGATGAAGTCAAAGGCCTGAGAGGTAGAGTCAGAGGTAGAGCACATTAGCCATGTCAGAGCCCAGAATGGGTGACATACTAAGGGCCAGAGTAGGTGGTGAGGGACCAGTGTCAAAAAGAGAAGTAGGCTCTAGGTCATGTCCCTGAAAATAATTTTTTCGAAAGCCAATTTGTCAATTGACCAATTTGCTATAAGCTGTCAAACACCTTAAATGGGCCTGCAACAGTGTCAGCTTCCTAACTTTCAGAAACCAGAGCAAACTCCAGGGATATTGTAGGTCTGCCCATCTGATTGGGTTAAATTTCCTTAGCCTACCCCAGTTGGTTATCCACTGGTTGAACTCCAAAATTATTTTCCCACCAATTTATGGTAGTTTATATAGCTACGGAATTAAACAAAGAGAGAAATTTACAGAATTTCTTGAATTTTGAGAGCCCTCTTTGAACATCAGTGTTTGGGTAGTGGCTAGGGAGAAAAGTGCTGATGCATTTCCTGCCTCTTTATCTTCTATTCCTTTGGCCCACATCTCCAGAAGTATTTCCCATATGCTCTAGGCCAGCTTTATATTCACTCATGAACTACAGCTGTGGAAGTGAAACCTAGTAGTGGCAGATATAGATAGCACTTGTGGATTTGACCCTCTCCTGGCTGTGAGAAATGAATATTTATGTCTGGCTGCTAGCTCTGTGTTTACTCAGTCTAGCAAATTGCAGAGAAGTTTCAAATGCAGCACTTTATAGGAAGTATAGTATTTTTGTGGCTTCTTCCTACCAGGGTATTTTGGCTCTTGACTCGGCCGTCCTTGTGGAGACATCGTGCTCTTTGGCCTTCTTCCTTGGGGAGTTGTGAAGTTGAAAAGACTGTGTCTATTGATAGATACTGCTCTACACTCTGCTGTTCTCAGTAAATTATCATTAGTGAACTTAAGTGTTTGGAAGGTACAAAGCTCTCGTTATTGATCAGAGCATGCTGTGTGCACAGCTGTATACCATGCATGTTTGTGGGCGGAAGATTGGACTCATGCACAGAGGTTTGAAGATTCCTCCATATGTTTTGAAAACTATATTTGAGAAGTAAGCATACTGATTTGCAGCTTGGGAGAAGAAAACACAATAAGCTGGAAATAGGGGAGACATAGTACAGAAATAGAGAAAACCTATTTAGGATCAGGGCAGGAAAGCTGGACTTTCAAGAAAACGTAGACTCAGACGTCTCTCTCTGTCCTCCTATCCAGTGTCCTTGCTCTATAAATAGCTAAGAAAGCTAAGTAGATTTAGACTAGGACAATCTTAGAAGCAGACCAGATTAGAGACAGGTATCATGTGCCCCAAAGGAAAGAAAGACTGATTAAAAACATGAGGGAAGAGTCTCTTGAGGGGCTATGATCCAAGGGTCAATCCCTGAATACCTTATTGTTATTTCTTGCCCAGATTTGCCTGTTTTCTTAGACAAGAATCCCATCAGCCTTGTCTGTTTCAAAGTTGATTTCTCCTATTTCTGGTTCAATGTTATTTACCAGCTTCTTCTAGAAAAGTTTTCACCAGATCATGATTTTTGGCTTACAGCCCTCCTCACTGTTACCTGTGGGCTAACCACCCAGACCTAGTGCTTACTGGTTGGCCTAGTCTTGTAGCCGTTCAAAATCAATAATAAAGTAATGTCAGGGTAATAAATATTGGTCTGGAATATCTTAATACCTACTGCATAGTAGGAAAACTTGGGATAAAGGTGATAAGCTGAACACAAAAATCTCTTTTCTTTACTACTGTACAAAATCTACAAAAGACAGAGAGATAGAAATTTTCACCAGTAGTAATAAGGCAAGGGAATGAGTACAACTTTACTTTATAAACTTTGTAAAGTATTGGCCAAGGAACCAAACAAGGAACCTCTAACTCTTCCTCATTCTACCCCTAGCCCATCTCCACTGAGCAAGACAAATTAGGTAATTTAACCCCATCTTCCTTAATAACTTCTGATTAGAGAGAAATAGACTCTGGTGGCCAGAAGACAAAACAGGGAAAAGTCAAAGAACCCTGGAGAAAATCACAGGATATAAACAGAAGCAGGAATCATTACTGGGACTCATCATTTTCTTGATTCCATGCTGAATTAGGGAAGTGATCTGAAGCCAGGGAATAGATGCTGCACCAACCTGGTAGAGACTCTCTGGCTATAAGAAATCTCAGAAAATAGAACAAAGCCCAGGTACCATAACAGGTGCGTGCAGCCCCAGAAGGATTCTCCCTTCTTCCTTCTAGTGCCCTCAAACTGTAGAGAAACGAGTAGAACCCAGTGTTTAGCTTTAAAGTTCTTCTTCTTGGAGACAAATATGGGAAGAGTAAGAAAAACAACTTCTCCATATCATAGATCACGTATGTATAATGATATGAACAGAAGGCCCAAGAGCAGTGTTTCTCAGCTCAAGCACTTAACATTTTGGGCCAGATCATTCTTTCTTGTGGTGGAGGCAGGTATCTTTGCACTGTGGAATGTTTAGCAGCATCCTGACCTCTACCTGTTAGATGCTAGGAGCAAACACTGCTCAACCTCCTGCCCCAGCCGTGACAACCAAAAATGTCTCCAGTTGTTACCAAATGTTTTCTGGGGTGCATAATCACTCCAAGTTGAGAACCACTTCTCTGGAGACATGGCAGCCCACTTTAAACATAAGCAAGAAGAAAAAAATGGCATGGCAACTAGAGAAAGATGCCATATTAAAACAATAAATTAATTAAATTAAGGAAGCTAAGAAGCAAAAGATAATGTATCCACTCTAGAAAAAATATATAACTACTAACACAAGATATAAACAAAAAGAAGAAAATTCTCCTAAACTCTTTCTCATTATAGAACAATTTATTAACAATATAAATTCAATAAAACAAAAGTTCAAAGACTAGATAGTAAAATAACAGAATGGACTGAACAAAGAGAGTGCAGTGCTAAGGAAATGAATTGAGTTCCAAAATAATACCACTACTTATTAATAAATTATAAATGTCAAGGAACTGACTAGACAGGATTAAATATAGAATTACTGATAAATAGAAAAGCTTGAAATACCAAAGAAAATGCAGAGTATAAAAAAATTAAAGCAACTAGATAATGGGATATAAATATGTAGGACATAAAAGATCAGCTAACATAAGGATAAGCTGCTATCCTTCAAGTGAAGGATTCACCAAATGAACAAAATAAGTATTCAGAAACAAAATAGGA